TTGCTTCAGGGAGTTCGTTGCTAGGACAAGCACTGAACTCCGTCTTGTAGTGGCTTTGTCCGCAGTCGAGCATTACACCTGCGGCTTGCGACCGACCTCTTCGCTGCCCTGTGTCACCGATGTTCAAACTAACATCAGCTTGTTGTGGTTGTCATCGTTCATCGCCAGTTAGCCGTTGTGCAGATTCGCATTCAGCCACGGCTAAAGCTGTTTTTCCGACCGCCGATGTTCACCTGTCATCGCTCGGTGAATGAGCTGATGTGAAGGCGCTTGACTTGTGATCGATTACGAAGCTGCACTAATGTGAGCATAAATTCTGTCCGACACTCAGTCGGAAGACGATTTAGCGCGTGGCCAGACGCGAAAATTTCAACAGCAACGACAAAGGAAATACGGCAACCGGCGGCATGCAATCTGTCTAAAAAGACGACAGGCAAAACATGAGAACGATTGTCAGGCATATGTAGAATTACGAAGAGCGTTACTCCCCTCTGTGATCGATTATTGACAGCTACGACTACCAGCACCCGTCATTTTGCGTATTAACTAAAACGCATACTCGTTGCATACGTTTTTTGATCACTCAGTCAAAAGTAGTAGACTTTCAGACCGTCGCCCATCCGTTCACTGATTCTCGGTACCCAACTGACAACTGACAACTACACAAATCTGGTCAGTTCACAGACGAAATGAATGAACATCTAATCGTACCGTACGCCATAGTGGTCACTATGCAACTTTCACGTCATTACGCATCATTCATGTCTCGCTTTACAAATATTTAATACATAAACTAGGGAGTGAAGCCATTGTCGTCAGGTGAGAGAACATCATTGACATACAGAATAATAACAAGATACTCAATCCTTTTAGACCAAGCGTCGGCAGCTGCTTACACCCCTACTTTTACATTCATCATCAAACAGAACTTTGCGACAAGCTTTTGTTTTCTGCCATTTTCGTACAGAAAGCTGCTTCAGCTCATCCTGCCATCGCTCTGGACATCTTGTTACGGGCTGTTTACTCTCTTTCTTTATTTCTTTACCTTTCTCTCTTGCGGTCTCACGGAACCCAGCCATGGTCGGTTCTTCTTGCAGCCTGTCCGCCCCTTGCCACTTCAACTTTTTCACTCGGTGCTATCGCGGTGCCACTAATTCTCTGTTCATCTGTTGTTTTGTTACACATGGTCTACACAGTAATAAAGGACAACAAAACCCGCCACGTTACTAAACTACGTCCTGTAGTGGGATGCAAGCGAAATAGTCCGAAAGGGAACCAACTGAAGAAAAACGAACAGTATTGAAACTCGTCATACCCGCGGGACAATCATGCAGCAAGATTTTTTTATTGTAAAAAAACAGGTGACTGCAACGGTTGCCAGCCAGTCTTAATCGACTGAATACTGGTACGGAGTTTCATCTGCTACGTATCTGCATCTGTATGTGCTAATAAACGCCGTGTAAGTTCTTTTTGCTAAGACCCTCGGTGGACTCACGATGTTCTTGTTAAGCCGAACGAAAACAAGAACACCGTCTATGAAAGATGACGCTGTATTTACTTTGAACAGTTTATCCGAGCTCGTTCTTGCATATGGTTATAGCAGCCACGTGACCTTGTCTAAATTTCGCAAAAAGGTCGTGGAACGGATTTTGAGTGCATACGTTACCGTTACCGTCCCGAAGGGTGGTAATCCGTACCCGTACATGTACCGGTTGGGACTGAAACCGACAGAGTCGACGGTTC